CCCCCCCCCCCCTCTCCCCTCTAGTCAAAGTCACCGCGGCCTGCGAATGTAGACGAGAGGGTGGTGAGCACAGAAGAGGAAGACAAGAGCGGTTCCAAGAAACAGCACGGTTTCGGTATAATTACCGCAACTTTGTTTACGTATCGGCTCGTTTACTGCTGGCGTGGGTGTTAGGACAGCATATGTGTAAACAGCAATAAAACATGTACCCATGAGTCCCGGATAGGTAACGCGACGCCTCCCTGAAAACGCGCGAACGACGTATCACTGGGAAGCCACGATGGGCGGAGCTGATCCATCCTCTGGTTCCCCATGTCAAATTAAACACCCTTCGTTAGAGAATTGGTCTAACCAGCTACAAATCGCCAGTCAGTCTTCGACGCATACGAATTCAGATCAGTTCGAGGCGACCGAGTGTTCCCAATATTACAGAGAGCTACGTTAAAACGTTCAGCTCTTATAATAAGAAAAGCTAGTTGTGTTATCTAGAAGATTACTACTTTTTCTTAAAGAACGTAATTGATGGTCTCAGTAGTAGGGACAAGTATGTTTTTTTATTAAATATTAGGGAAATAATAATTATGTAGATTTCTTGCTTGTACAAAACTTAAGTTTATTAATTGAGAAATCTCTTTTTTTTGATACTAAACAATTACGACTTTTAGTGTTGAATTAAATTCTCGTTAAATTAACGAAGTTGATTGTGAACGATTGTGAAGTGATCGCTAGGTGATCGTTCACTCCGAAAGAATGCATAGTTCGACTGTGAAGGAATTTGAAGAGCAAATTTACTTGTGAAATTGCATTTGTATGAAATATAATTTTGAAGCTGTAACATACTTTTGAGGCACAGATTGTCGAAGACTTGAAATGATGGCAATGAAAACGAAGACAAACGAATAATTTTCTAAGAACATAAAGAAGCGAGGGGAAGAAGAGTAGTAAAATTGCGAGGATTTCGATTCTATGATAGACTTCTGAACAAATTCACTGTTCCAAGTGATAACAAGTTGAAAAATCAAATATTGATAGGAAGCACAGTAACACGTCGAATGTTCTGATCGTGTCATCTTCAAATGGAGTCCAACAATAGCTATCAAAACTATCCCTGTTCTGTGTCAAAGATTTACAACTGTGATTTACGCAGAACTTATGAGTTTTGGAACACAGAAGAAACATTTCCAACAATGTGCCCTTTGCCAAATTACTACAGCTTGGTCCCGGATGTACTGACCTCGAGGAGCGTCCCTCTTTCATGGGATCTCCCTTTGATAAGATACAAACCACAGCCACGCTATGAGAAACCGCCGTACTCGTACATCGCCTTAATAGCTATGGCAATCAATTCATCGCCTAAACAGAGGCTCACCCTTTCAGCAATCTATAGATTTATTATGGATAAATTTCCTTACTACAGGGAAAATCGTCAAGGATGGCAGAATAGCATAAGGCATAATCTGAGCTTGAACGATTGTTTTGTGAAGATACCAAGAGATAAGGTAATTGGAAATGACAACGAAGAGGATCAAGCCGGGAAAGGAAGTTATTGGACTTTAGATCCTTCTGCAAGTGAAATGTTCGAGCACGGTAATTATAGGAGAAGACGAATGAGGAGACAACGAGGATTAACGCAGGATAAACAGGAACAGGATCATACGGTGGTTTCGGTATGCGAAATTAAACCGACTAATCGTTTCTTCAAAAAATTTTACGTTAACTCTGTTCTTCTCAGTTGGTGTGGATGATTATATCTTTTGTAATAAATTTATATATTGTCATTTTAGATTTCGCCGGAGATCTTATTTAATTCGAAACACAAGGAACAGAAATGTGACACAATGGAGGAAAGTACTGAAGGAAATGCGCGGAATGGGAAAATAAAATACACAGAAGCTCAGGGACATTGTGTAAAGTCGATGATGTTCACGATCGAAAATATTTTGCGAAAGTCTACGAATGAATTTCCCATTTGAATATCTGGCAACTATGTATTTTAATATGAAAATAAACAATTTCTCCGAATCAAGATTATTGATAATACTTGAGTGCAATATGAAAACGAATGAATGCTGTTTATTACAAAAATGTGCTTACATTTTTAATTATATATCGCACATTGCGTATAAAGATTAAAAATATTTAACGATTCGTTTAAAATATAGTACATTTATATATAAAATTAAAACATATATACAAGGAAGACTTGTTGTATATAAAAATTATCTCAATAACTTTGTGCCATCTGTCAGTAAATAAAACTATTTTTAAGTAGTCTATACCAAAGAATTATAATATCCAGAATGTACTCTCAGTAAACGAGGAATAACAAATTTATAATGTTTTACAAAATATATGATATACGTAGATTATACCTAATGAAATTAAATAATATTTAGTATCCACATATATTACATATTATGTATAGTGTACGTAATTCATATCCTAGTTCAGATAATATATAAAGATATTTTTTTAGTGTCTTAAATGATAGAATACAAGTAGTAAAAAGCTTGTTTATGTCTATCTAGACATATCTTAATATTACAGAGTGACATCTAGAATTTCTTACAGTGTAAATATATTACTTAAATATTATTGTCTCACAGAGACATAAAATGTATTTTGAAAATGCACTTCTGTCACTGATAAAAAATGATTTTAAGCATTTGGATTTTTCGTCATTAGTTCTAAATCAGAATCCATCATGTCCTTTACAAGAGCCTAAAATAATATTTCTTATTAGATACAGAATTCATTACCAGTAATTATATATTAACATTACATTAATAATTTTTATAAATACCTCAAATGTAACAGTAGGCTTCCAACCAATTTTTTCTTTCGCTTTGCTAGCATCACCCAGAAGTACGTCCTATAGGAATAAAAATAAATATATTTTTTATTCGTGTATAACATTATTATAACGTAATTACTGTTTAATAATTAATGCTTACTACTTCCGTTGGACGAAAATATTTAGGATTTATTTTAACCAATAATTGTCCTGTTTGTGCATCCTGCCCTATTTCATTTACACCTTCACCTTTCCATTTAATAGTGCGACCTACATATTGGAATGCTGCTTCCACAAATTCTCTCACACTATGTGTTTCTCCTGTTGCTATAACATAATCATCCGGAATTGGCTGTTGCAACATCAACCACATCGCCTATTGAGTGTACAAATTTTAATAGATTTTCTTTAAGTGTTCCCATTATTAAGAATAATGTATGTCTCTCTTACTTCAACATAATCTTTTGCATGTCCCCAATCTCGTTTAGCATCTAAATTTCCTAATTCAAGAACATCTTGCAAACCTAAGTGTATTTTTGCTATAGATCTAGTCACTTTTCTTGTAACAAAGTTTTCTCCTCTACGGGGGCTTTCGTGATTGAATAATATGCCGTTACATGCAAACATATTATATGCCTCTCTATAGTTTACCACAATCCAGAAACTATATAATTTTGCACAAGCTGAAATTATAATAAACTGAACTTAATGTCACTTTGAGATTTATGAAATCAAATGTCACATATGTAACATAATCACCATATGGTGAACGAGGATAAAATGGAGTTTTTTCATTTTGAGGTACTTCAGTCACTCTGCCGTAAAGCTCAGATGTTGATGCATGGTAAAATTTTACAGATTTTTCAAGACCACAGGTACGTATTGCATCTAATAATCTAACTGTTCCTACTGCATCTACTTCAGCAGTATATTCACTTACTTCGAAACTTACCTACAAGAATAATACAAAAGAATTCTTTCAAATGATCATAAAATAAAATAATCACAATAAAATAATCAATATGATATGTACCATAACATGACTTTGAGCAGCTAGATTGTAAATTTCTGTCGGCTGTACAGAACTAATTACTTTAATTAAGCTACTGGAATCTGTCATATCACCATAGTGAAGTTTCATTTTGCCTTGGCGGTGGCATTTTGGATCTGCATATAGATGTTGGATCCTAGCAGTATTAAAAGAACTAGCTCTTCTGATTATACCATGCACATCATATCCTTTTTCCAATAAAAATTCAGCTAAGTAGGAACCATCCTAGAAAGAAAACGTAACAATATAATATTAATAATTTACTTTATATTAATTTCTATATAAAATATGAATAACTAATATGTATTCTGGAAAATTAAAATTATGTACTTGAAACATGTACGTTAAAATAATTATAGCTATTCATAAAGGTATTAAAATACTAACGAGAATGTTCCGTATAAAACAATTTGAAATTTTATTAATAATATAACAAAACTTGATTATTATGATTATGTTAGTACATAAAAACCATAACATGTATTACAAATAGATCATGAAAATATTTAATGATGAATGAAAATATTAAACATGAATTAAATATTAACCAGCCTCTGTACTTGATGTTTATTACATTTTTAAGATGGAAATTTATATTCTATAAGTAGACAATTTATATTCTTAATATACTCTTACATGTATTATTGACAGTAAATATTTTGTAATATTTTGTAACTAACATGTATATATATTTTTTTTAGATTTATTTTATTATCTTACAAGACAATTATTGTTCATCATGCTAAGGACAACAGGTTACAGTGTTAAGGAAATTTGAAAATGTTTCATGGGACAAATATAATACGTAAACAAAAGTTCCTTGCAATAAGTGTTCGAATGCATTTATAAGTCGGTATATGTCGACAAAATAAGAGTCAATCTTACTTGTCCGGTAATGCCAGTGATTAGTGCAACGTGTCTCTTGCCGTCAGTTGCCATGTCGATCTGCTATCAAAAAATTGTCTTATCTTCTCGGAATCCCGCCGAATTTTGCCAACCTGTCCAAACCTTATCAATCCCGATAAAATAATTACATTCATTCGTGTATGATACATTCGGCTGTCAGCTTGAAACCTCAATATATACAATTAGACTAGACACGATAACCAATAGAAATTCTACATTCTGTTTACTCTAATTTTTGATTTGCACAGATGTAGAGGTTTGTAAGAATTAACATTTAATTTAGAATTTACATTGAACTACTTCGATTAGATTATTTTATTTGATCTGACGATTGTACAGGATGTCCCGTAAGTGATACAACCGAGTAACAGGTGATTCTATATGAAAACAATGAGTTGAAAAGAAAGAATAAAATTTGTTCATTAAAATTAGTTTTCGAGAAAGTCGAACTTCAATGTTTATATATAGTATACTTGAATTCAATTAATCCTAGACGCAATAAAGAAGAATAATTAATAGTAGGTTATTCTACGTGCGATAGCAAAAAATGTGGAACAAAATTTCGAGAAAATCGAATTTGAAAATTAATCAAGTACACGTGTATTCAAGATAATTTTTAACAAAATATATACAAAGTTCTTTTCAAATTTTTAACAAAATATATACAAATTTTTTTTAAAAACGACACAAACGAAAAAATATTTTATACTTATTTTTGCGCATAGAATGTTCTCGTGTTGATTACTCGCGCCTATCCAATACGGAATTAACTAAATTTACTTCGTAATACTTGATAAATCTTCGAATTCAATTTTCTCGAAAACAAAGGCTTTAATATTCAATTATTCGTTCGAAAACGTTCAAACATTGGAAACTTTTCGAATAATCCAAAATTGCATAATGCGCGTTATAAAAATACTTTCAAAAATGACGGGATTGGCATCAGTCAATTAATGAAATATAATTTAGGTTATATATTGTATATTTCTCTTATAACCATTTGTTGCACATTTTACAAAATTCAAAATTGAATCTTTTTGCTATTGGTGTGTTCTCACAAAGACGAACATGAACTAACCACTCGCAAGTATGGCAATTTGCATGTCATGCGTGAGAAAAGCACAGTTTGCCATATTTGCCGCAAAGTGAATTGTCATTCAGAAGGAAAAGTGTTGAAGATTTTGTTAGTGAGACAACAATAAAGAAAATGGCACTTTTAAGTGAAAATTCGGGAAGATCTTTACCTGATTACGAGACACAAGCAGCAAAAATGAAAAGTTTTAGTCCGTACGCTGACAATGGAGGGTAAGCTGTTTTCTTCATGGGTGTCATAAGCTGTCATAACCTATCTTCTTAACATCAACGAATCGAAATGTTTATATATTTATATATTTTTGTCATAAATATATATTTTTATTACGAAAATGATGTAATCATTCAATTATTAAATTATTTGCAATTATTAAATTGAATTACAAATAATTGTTTATATCTGATTATTAAGTTATTGTGTCCATATATAAGTTTACTGTATGCATTAAAATTATAGGAGTGTCATAGCTCTCGCAGGAGATGACTTTTGCGTAATAGCAGCAGATACACGTCTCAGCACTGGGTTTTCCATTTATACGCGTGAACAACAGAAGCTCTTTCCTTTGTCATCTAAAACTATTTTGGGTTGCTCAGGCTGTTGGTGCGACACTCTTACTTTGACCCGACTTTTAACTGCAAGAATGCAGGTAAAGTTCGATACAGTTTCATCTTTGATTATTAAAATTTAACATTTAAGATAATTGTCATGCTAATTTCTTTCTTATGACAGATGTATGAACATGAGCACCAGAAGGAAATGCCAACATTAGCAGTTGCACAAATGCTATCAACAATGTTGTATTACAAACGTTTCTTTCCTTATTATGTGAGCAACATTCTTGGTGGATTAGATGAGGATGGTAAAGGTTGTGTATATAGTTATGATCCCATTGGACATTGCGAAGTAACAAAGTATAGAGCAGGTGGTTCTGCCGGAGCCCTGTTGCAACCTCTGTTGGACAATCAAGTATTAAAGAACAATAGTATTATTCCAGTAGTGTTAAATTAAATTGTAGCTACTTACAGCAGTAATTCATTTATTTAGATTGGATATAAAAATCAAGAAGGTGTTGAGCCTGTTCCTTTAACTCAAGAAAAAGCTGTTGCGATTATAAAGGATGTTTTCACGTCAGCAGCAGAAAGAGATATTTACACTGGTGATTCTATAAATATCAAAATTATAACAAAAGACGGTGTACAAGATTCAACTTTTGAATTAAGAAAAGATTAATGAACCAAGGTAAAATTTATGTATTATCGAATTTTAATATAAATAAAGTTAATGCTAAAAAAGTACAATTAATATTTATTTAATAATTTCTTATCTTTTATATACAGCTATTGTGATTTGTATTATATTATACATTGAAATGAGTGTGTATGTATGTGTATAAATGCTATCAAACCAATGATTCATATGCATACACATATAGACCTTTTACTTCTATTTGCATTAATACTATTTTATTTAGCCTACATTAACCAAGTTGTAAAACATTATCCATAAATGTATATCACAATAACAATAGTCAAATGTACTTTGAAAATACAACGAAACGGTACACAAAATTATAATTCATAAATTAATATTTGCAAACTTGAACACATATATAACACTTTAAAATTAAACAAAAGTGTGCTTCTTATACTTTGTACACAAAGGCATACTGCAATAACCTACTTTATAATACACAGTAATATACTTAATAAAATAATATTTTATTTTAAAGTATATAATAAAATAATCAAAAATGAAGAGAGTTAAATTTGTTCTCAATCCTACAATTTAACTTGCAGTTCTGTGTAGGGAACAATATATAAAGGTAAGAAGTATAGATTCTTCCTCCTAAGATTCACTTTTTATTCCCAGGAAGTGATAATGGTTTACCACGATCTTTACCACGCAATTTGATTCCCAACACTTTCTCGATTTTGCCAATCACCATTTGATTTGGAATTCCACGACCTGCTTCATAGTCATTGATGACTTGTGCTTTTTCGTTCACTTTCTATTCACAAAGGAAACAAATATGTATAAATATACATTATATAATCACACTATTCATATCATTTGTATAAATAAAATTTATATAAATAACATACTGTCGCAAGGTCTTTCTGTGATAATCCTTTACTTTGTCTTCCTTGTTGGATTAATTTACCAAGATCGAGTGGAATCTTGTCGTGTTTTAATTCTTCTGTTTCTCTGTCTAATTTAGCAGTGTTTTTAGTTGCCACATGTTGTTTGTTTGTACCTCCACCCCCTAACAAAAAAAAAATTTATATATATATAAACTATCCTTACAATTCGAAAAAAAGGAACAATCTGCTTGTTGATTTTGTAACGTTGCATCAAAAAAAATTGTAAACAGCATCTTGTATTACATCACAATATGTGATTCAATGATTCTCGTAATATTTTTACATATGAAATGTACCATCGACCAAATAAAAATCATGAAACGAAACGATATCAAAGAATTAACGATTTAAATCTCAGGGCAAAATCAAACCCACATACATTTTGCTTGTGTTTCAACTACGAATCCTTGACGACGCGCAGCATTCACTGCCTGTAAATAAATACAACTTACATGTTATATGTTACATAGTGGAAATCGTTTCAGACGAAATAAATAAATGAAAAATGTTTGTCATGAAGTTACCTGTTCCGATTTAAGTACCGAAGCTTTCGGGGGACGTTTCCGTAGAGTAATCGGAGTTGTGTCCCAGTCTGACATATTGAAAAAAGTTGAATACGCCGATAAAAACGTAAAATTGTATTATCAACGTCGTACGCAATATACCCGTATCCTTTATCGTACTTGCTCTGAATCTTCCAGTAACTTCTCTACACGTTCCAAAAACCACGATTTAATGTACGGTACCAGAATCGACCGACATCCAAATTGTCCAATTTCCTGCAGTTTGTTTCAAATGCATGTTCAGAATATCAATTTCAATTTTCATTCATTCAAACTATTGAAGTTTTTACTTAAAATTTACTAGGTATTAATTCCTGCAACCAGAGCATAGCTGTTATGTAAAATCATGTGTGTTTTACATAGAGATAAAATGACCGCGATGTTTAAATAACTCGTGAATATATCATTTAAAGTTATAACAATTTTACGTATATAAGTAATTGTATGAATGTTTCTTGTTTTATTGATTTTTCTATCTGTCCGATAAAGATATGATTTTATAAATTTTTTCGACAAAAAATATATCAAATAAATTGGAAAATGTGCAATAAATTTCTCCATGTTCGTACAAAAATGTATAGAACTTTCGTAACGTGTGAGATTATAAAATATCAGAAGTAAAGTTACAATAGCTGTTTTAATCAATAAGACAAATTTCTATTTAAATCTCTATTTAAATCCTATTTCTTTAATTAAGTTCCTAAAAATATAAAAATTGATTAAATACTCGAAGTCTAGTAATAATTTTGAACGAAAAATTAATTACTGATCAAAATATAGATTTTCTCTATACCATAATAAAATAACTAAATTTAAAAAAACATTTGCCGGGAATATACGTTTCTGTTAAGTCTAGAAGTTGTTCATACAAATTTTACAGTGTTTGACAATACGATTATATCTGAATTATTATCTCTGTCATATAAGAAAAAGTATAGGATGAATAATATGACAGTGTTTTTTTTTTCTTTTAACTCCAGAATGCACACATGTATTCAAGAAATGCATTACCAATCGTAAAAGTTTGTTTTCTTATGTTATGTACATGATTTGCTAAGTTGCGTATGCCGTGTTTTACACTGGTAATCTGGAACGCTGATTTATTTGAAAATATTTGAAACAAATGAGAAATGTCTTTCATTCGGACACTTTGGAAGTGTAACTTTGGCCCTCGACTTTTCAAGATTTACGAAATAACATGGATCGGTCGACTAGTAGAGGTATTTATTGATTATTACACAAAATCCATTAGATCAATGTATTTTTAGGTTATGTCCGTGTTAATTCAATTTATTACAGAAATCATACGAGTCTAATAGCTTAGAACGATGGGGTGATCAAATCGTAATCTGCGTGAGTATTTTATTAAGAGAAAAATTACATTAGAAACTTTTAATTGTGTCATCATTAATTACTATAATTGTTTATTATAAAATTAATTAGCAAGAATGAAAGTGCTCTGTAAAACGTTAATAAATACATTTCAGTTTGCAGCAATTTGGTCCATAAGTCTATATACAATTCCATTAGTGGCTATCTTTTTCTACGAACATAACAGTTCCATAACCGAAAATATTTTTTCTTTGAGCAAATTAGCAGCCAGTGCTAGTGCGATTTTCATTGCATCGTTAGCTGCTCGAAGTTGTTCTAGAGCCACTAATCCAATATATTTAAAATTCTTAAAAATTCTTAATGAAGCGAATGCACATTATTCAGCAGAAACAAAACAAGAACTTGACAAGTACGAGTTTGAATTCTGGGCAAGACCTGTAGATTTTAATATCAAAGATATAGAAAAGTATGTTTTTTTTTTTATCAAACTAAATCGAAATAGTATATATCTGATTTTTAATAACCTTATGAATGTATTTACAGGGATTCAGCTATAGAGAAATTAACTTTAGAGAAAATTGCAGCCTCCAGTGGTCGCATAAAAAGGCAAACTGGTAAAGAATTTATATGTACATTGCCTTGTAAGTTTTTATCATATATTGTAGCTCACACTTTTGCTATTAAAATGATGTATCCTGGAAGTGTAACAGTTCTTAACTGGGCATTTCGTAAGTTGAATAGATCACTATTAATGAAGGATATTATTTTTTATTTATTTAACATAATCTATTATTAACGTAGGATCGACGCTTCTAAAAGGAAGAATACATTTAATAAAACATGGTGGCGAAAGGTACAAATTATTAGCTGCAGATAATAATGAAATTGATGCTATATTCATTGACCGACGTAACAAGTAATGTAAACACTAGTAATGTTTTTTTCTAAAGATATTATTTCGTGATATATTATTTTTATCTATTTTATATATTGATTTTACAGGAAAACAAATGGTGATGTGCTAGTTATCACTTGCGAAGGAAATTGTGGATTTTATGAAACTGGTATAATATCAACGCCAATGAGCAAAGGATATTCAATTTTGGGTTGGAATCACCCAGGTTTTGGTAGTAGTACTGTAAGTATTCTTTTTATACTAAAGTTCATAAATTTTTTTACACTGATATTTTGATGAGAAGAATTGCTGTTACTTTATTATATCTCGTTTCGAATTGCAAACATAAAATTTTGGCAATGTTGCAGTTAATATCAATCATGTATGTAAATTAAATGTTATTGAAGTAATGGCAAGACTTCTTCTTCAGTCAAAGTATGATTATAAAATGATAACAGTAAGACATGAAAATGACCACAAAGGGTGCGCCGTATCCTCTTCAAGAAGAGAATGCTATCGATTGTGTAATGCGCTTCGCAATCGATCACTTAAAATTTCCCGAGGAACAAATAATTCTTTATGGTTGGAGTATTGGTGGATACACTGCAACATGGGCTGCTATGAACTATCCTTCTATTCAAAGTTTGGTAAGATCATGACAGCTCACATTTTATATTTCAATCAGTTCAAATAATTTTACATATTTTAAATATTTGAGAAGAATGAAATTAATATACAAAAAAGAAAAAATTATAATAATACACTTTATAGGTATTAGATGCTACATTTGATGATGTACTTCCATTAGCTATTATGATGTTCTCATCATTAGAAGGTTTGGTACGAAATATTATTAGGGACTATTTCAATTTGAATATTGCTGAACAATTGAATAGGTACTATAATATTTTATTGAAGTATTATACATATATAAACAAATATATAATTTTTGCTTCTTTTTCAAGATACAATGGTACAGTGTTGCTTATACGAAGAACAGAGGATGAAGTAGTATGTACTCCTAGTGGTAATAGTTTATCAGGAAACCGAGGTAACATGTTGCTTGCAAAACTTTTAATGCGACGTTATCCACACCTTTTTACGGAGAACTCAGAATGTGCTGTACTTTTAGTGAAATTTTTATCTGCAGATATATCTAATAGAAGTAAGAAATCATTGTGGGTTTCAAGCTGATCCTCCAATATCCTCCATAACGCAATGACATATGTTAATATTTTTTATAGAATTAATAATCGAAACAGTAGAGGTTGATGAAAAACAATGTTTGGAACTTACTGCAGCAGATATAGAGAAGAATGGTAGTACAGTACAATATCCTAGCACGCTTGGAGAAGACTGTGATTCTAAGACGAAACAACAACTTATCCTATTTCTTGTATGTAAATATAATTAAAAAATATATAAAATAAACATCTGCTAATTTGTATTTGTATCATTTTAGGCAACATTATATATGAAGGACCAGTCGTCGTCGCATTGTACACCGTTAGCAGTGGATTTGTTTCAACCTGGTTGGGATCCAACATCCACATTGTCCATAGCAGAATGAAAATTTCTATTATAATTGACTAATTACTAGGAGCTTTATTCAAAATTCTTATTCTTATGATAATAGGAACTCTTGAGAGTTGGTCATATTCGATGCATTTGATGTTAAGTTTTATCAATAAGTTATTTATTCTATACGAATTTCAGTCTATTTTTCATATTCCAAATTGATAAGAATGTTATATTCTTATCTTTAAATAAAATTTTTATATTCATTACTAAAGCTCTAGTCTTATACAATCTTGATAAATATCATCTTCAATGACAAAAAAGAAAATCACAATATGCACAATAATGTAATTATTTATACATAAAAAAAAACTTATAAAAATTTAATGCAACATTTTTATTTTTCACAAATTTCATAATTTGTATTTTTACAAGTTGCAAAGCATTTAAAAATAAATGGATATATCTCATATATCGATGTTCTATAAACCAATTATATAAAAAATTGACAATTATTATGTATTTTGGATACGACATAAAACAGTTTTAAGAGAGTCTTTCGAATGTTGAAACGAATCCACAACTTTCATTTTATTCATTCTTATTGGCTTTTGTAAAAAGAAAATTAATGTAGTTCGTATTTCTTGTAGAAAGTAATCTTTTTGACTAACTATTTCTAACGCTTTAAAACATCCTTCCAAATTCCAATCAATTTTTCCACTATTTTTATCTTCAGCCTAAGAAAAAAAAAATAAGAAAATATTAGAACTTTTTAAAACATATGTCTATTACATTTTATGAAATACGTACTTTTATTAAACCTAAATTGACTAACAATGCATTATTCCAAGTAGGAACCTGATTACTTTGCATTGCAAAGAAGCATAGCTTGGAATACAAAGCATCGGTGAGATTTTGAGATTTTAATCTCACATCAATATAACCACTTGTACTGAGTGCTGATACTTTCATAATTATTCTCGTAAACTCTTCAATGAATTTCAATTTTGAAGATGTATTCTTACTATGTTTTGATACTTCCTAAAATAAAAAAAAAAGAATATTAAACGTATTTACAATATTGACAGTGTTAATAGAAATGTAATATTATTTACTTACTTTGGCATAATTTACAAAATCTTGTATTACGTCACCTTGTAATAATAATAATTTTTCTCCAATTGGTGATTTTAGAAATTCTGCAACTGTTACTTTTGATAATGCAGTGTCATTTATAAATGCATGTTTATTATTATCTCTATTTTTTTTATTTTCATCCTCACTTTCATCGTCTTTTTCATCACTTTCTTCATTTTCCTCTTCATTTTCTTCTTCATTTTCCTTTATATTTTCTTCATCATCATTAGAGTCTTCATCATCATCATCTTCGTCGTCACTATTATCGCTCAATATACTTAATGATCCAATTCTTTCAGAAACTGTAAGCGAATCGCGCAAAATGGTACGACCAGTTTGACCAAACAAATTTCCATCCAATTGTAAGGTTATAAGATGTTCTTTGTCCGCCACAGCAAGAGCTAAAGGATTAGCACCCTTGGTTCCAATTTCATTATAACTTAAATTAAGTTCAGTAAGTAACGGATAACCTCCTTGAACTCCTAGTGCTTCTGCCAAAACTATACCACCTTGGGTTTTGAGTAAACAATCGCCAAGATTAAGCTGTTCTAAATTTTTGAAATTTGGCAATGCCTTGGCAATTGCTTGAGCTCCTTTCAGCCCAACAGTATTATCATTGAGATTTAGAACTCGCAATCTAGGATTAGAAGACAATCCATTAGCTATTGCCGTTATACCCTCATGATATATACCATTTTGAGGCATAACCACTTCCTCTAAACTGGTTAATTTTTGGAAAACAGATGCTAGTGCCTTTGCACCTTCATTTTCCAGTCTATTTCTTCCAGCTACAAACACTTGTAATGCTAAGGGAGGTGATCCTAAAAGAAAGATTTTATGCATTACTTTATTTGTTTATACTTTAATCAACAGCATGAACAATAACAAATCTTACCTCCTTGTGTACTATTATCATAACAATCTAATAATGCTTTTGCCAACATTTTACCACCAGATATTCCAAGTCCATTGTTATTTAGTCTCAATACACGAAGAGTATAACAAGAACTAGAAGTCAAAAAATTGGCTAGTCCTTTAATACCAATTGGACCAAAAGCATTATCACTTAAATCAAGCTCAAAAAGACGTGTACCAGCAATACATAATGCAGAGCCAAGATATTCAAGAGCTTTTGGTATCTCAGTCTTTACGCGACCAGTGAACATATCTTTCCAAAGGGCTCGTTTCATTAATGAACCATTTTCTTGCAGTGCTTGTGCCACAGCTTTGGCAGCAAGCGGTCCTAAAGTGTTGCCTTCCAAGTCTAAATATTCCAAATTTGTACACGCTCTTATTGCTTTGACTATCTCCAATGCTAATTAAACAGAGAATTAAAGGATTAAACTTACAAAACAGAGAATTAAGGATTAACCTTCAAAGTGTTTATATAACTATGATTTTTTTTTTAAGATATTTAAAATATGTAATTGTTTAATATATAATTTACCGTCTTCCTCGGTGTCAAGTTTGAGCGATTGCTTTGCGAAAGATACACCACTGCTGGCATTACTTTCAGCAACGTCTTCTAATTGTGCTCCAAGATCATTCAGATCGAACGACGACATTGTTCGTTATTCGAATCTAATCACACTCCACGTGATTATAATTGTTTAAATGTTTTTTTTCCGTTTTTTAAATAAATCAGTTTTCAACACTTAATTTCGACGTCTATTCATAGATACAAACGAACGCGTCACCCTGCATTAGTAAACGCGGGAGATGCATACCAACTGTTAAAAATATAATTTATCGTACCACCTATCGTATGATACATACTTATTTACATACATGTTACAACGAAATGTAAAAAACACCATAATGAAATTTATTCTAGCATATATGCTATATTATATATGCTAGAGAAGAAAACATAAATGGAAAAATGTAAACTGTGATCCAATTAATACATGTGAAAAACGTATGCGTAACTTTATCATAATATTACAAAATAATTATTCATTACCGATTGTAATATATATTTTTATTCATAAAAGGTTCCTTTTATTAATTAGCACATGCGTATTCGCCTTGACATGCTGCGAATGTTGAATCTACCCTAATATTTTTAGCGCGAATTTTAAATTTATTAAATTTTAATTTCATTATATGTAATAATTTATAATTTATAATTGTATAATTTACATATTCATATATATACATATTCCTCTTTTTAACAAAGAATTATGGTTCATATCAATTAATTAAATTAATTAAATTAATTACTAACATGTAAATAATTCTTCATTCTTTCATTAATAAACATTTAAAACGCTAAGACGCTAATTTTCGAATTAATTAAGAATTTCGAAATTATTTCGTCTTTGTTTAAATCAAGTATTAAATTAATTAATATTCCTTGCAACAGACTCGAGTTTCAAAATTGAAGAGGTTAAGTTCCAAAACTTGAAAATATCTCTATTTCATGCAAGGAAAGATCACGCGATAATACCAATTAAATTAATCCGAACTGAACGAGTATCGCGACGAACAAGTTAAAATCGCCCACGGTAACAATATCAACAATTTGATCAAGCGAGTTTCCCGCCAAATGTCCCCGAGAGATCTATATATTCCATGCTTTTAGGCATACACCCGCAGTATGTAATTGCCACTGCACAGTCCGCACCCGTGTGTTCGCGTAGTGCGTCTCAGGAAGTTGTCGTTTTGTCGACACAATACACACGTACGTGCACACATGCGTACACACACATCTACACGCGCACACACACATACGCGTGCACGAAATCGAATTTCAAAACCAGTGGAAAATTAAAATTATCGCGACGGTGAAACGGCGGATCGTACGCGCACGGTGGACGCGTTTCGTCTTCGCGTTGATGTGGCCGCGAGTGTCGCCGACTAGTGCGCTGGTTCATCGGCGAGGAGGAGGCTCCCAGTGGTTGTTTTCAGACGGCTGGAGTGTTACCCCGATTAGAATGGTTGCGAGTGTCGCGCGCATCGCTGGCAACCCATACAGTGTTGTCGTCGCGCAGCCAAAATAAAGTCGGCGGTGGCTGTGCACCTTGGATGACCACCAGTGTGACGAACGTACGTCGGGTGTCCGCCGTTTAACCAAGGCGGGACAAGTAATGTGGAATCGTGATTAACTACCGTTTCGCCGAGAACAATGGGTGTCACAGCTTTCTGAACGTACATCCCGGTATTTTAAAAAATCGGATTCGGCTCTGAGACAGCCGAGCTGAAACTGTTTTGCTTGGTTGTTCGTCCACCTTCTGGCGTTTACCTCTCCCCCTGTGACACTCAGTTCGGATCGCGGTTTGCTCCGCGCGAGAAAAAAGGAAAACAAAAAAGAGGTCTCGCCCGGGGGGGGGGAAAAATTCGCCGAGGCAACACGCAATTCGTCGCACTTGTTTTCAACAACTTTTATCCGCCCTGACGTGATTCGCCCGGTTTGCCCGCCACAGGACGGGTTATGTTTCCCACTTTCATCGGAATTCTAGGTGAGCCAGCCCGCACGTCGTGAAAGCGTAACTCGTCATGTTATTATGAAATGTCTCATGAATTTTACGTTTCCTCGTAATTGTTACATAGCAGTTATTATGCACTAGCAGGAAGATCGATGCCTCACGATTGGTTAGCCCTTGTCAATGACCTCAAGTTTAGCAACAGAGAATCATTTTTATTTGATTTCATTTTTTTTTTTTCTCCTTTTTCCCTCTTCTTTTTCTTACCGTGTTACGTTCTGTCCAAGGTACTTGTGCACGGCTGCCTTTGTATTTGTACTTTTGCCACTATTGGTATTGTTGGTATTGTTGTTTTAAATCACTGGTCTTGCTCATACTTCAAGACAGAATCTTCTGTTCCCTCTGTTGGAAATGTAGTTTTTCTTATTAAGAATATCAATTGGTTTGTTGTTTATTGAAAATTTTTATTCTTAAATTAGAAAAATCAATTATGTTGAGTGGAATCAGTGTGAATAAATGACAATGTTTGAAGCTTTATCTTTTTATATTTTTCATAGCTTTGTTAGAAATTATCCTACCACATCAGAGGAATCAGTCTATTATTACTTTTTTGTTTCTTATCAATTAATTTATTGTTGCTAAAACATATCAAAATATTGAGTACGTATACATTGTTTGAAAATAACAATGCGAGTATAATATAAGATAAAAATTAATATTTCAAAAAAATATGATTTACAGACACATCGTAATGAATAAAAGGATATACCATAAATGTATTTTGAAAAAAGCCATTAGAAAGTAATATACATAACCACTTTGTTAAAACTATCTAAAAAGTAACATACACAAATGTATTTTTATAGTGCAATTTTAAGATCTGTGTAAACATATACAAATAGATACTAAAGTAGAAGATAATTCTCAATATACATTATATTTATATACTTATATGCATTTAGTTTTATCAATAATGTTCTAGAAGTGATGATTTTTAAAGCATATTGAGTACATGCAAGAAAAGAGATCATGTTCCAGAGATTAAAGAAATACAATATGAAGGAACTCTCAATTGTTCCTTTATTTTTTTAGACATACAATCGTGGTGGGAGGTGCCAAGTATAGCACACTTCTGTTCATTATTTAGGGCTGCCTTCAATCTTCTGGACTTTGATATTGAGGTACTTACCTAAGTGCCGACTCGTACGAGTAGGCATTGTATATGAGACTTGTTAGTATCGCTTTAGCTTCCAGGAAGTTTAATAGACCACGCTTCAGCTTTACGTTTTTAAAGACTTATGCATTCTTTTGTCATAGTTGCATCAATTCTTTTATTTTTTTGATAGCATATGTATACATATTAATTATGCATTATTTTAGGATTTAGAAGAAGCTTTGTTAACGGATGGTGGAACTGAGGGACATTTAGTACAGGAGCTAATAGTCAGACTGCTTGAAGGTTGTTTACCAAATGACACTCGCAATGACATCTCAACTTTTAATTATCAAATGTTTCTTCGCAGACTTTTTCGAAAAAAATGTCAGGTAAATTGTTTCTTTTATTTTATGTACATGACATATTTATATATTTCATTGAAATTAACCGATCCTTCATTTTGTCTTCAGGAATACAAGTGTGAAAATCCTTTTAACACAGATGTAGATTTTGAGTTATTGCCACTCCGTCAAAAAGTAGAAATCTTACGTGCTCTCTGCGACTTCAGGCTTGACGCTGAAGACGTGGTATGTGTTTAGAAAAACACTCAAGGAAAGATATTCAATTTATAAAGATTGTCGCAAGTATATTTACATGTTCGTGATTTTTTGTAGGAGCAATCATTAAGTAATTTGGACTCGGATAGTCTGCGAGTCGAACCTTTAGGACATGATCGTAAGAATTCTGCCTATTGGTACTTTTACGGCACTCGATTATATAGGGAGGACTACATTGATACTTCTAACAGCATCTCACACAAACAGAAAAGTAAGCCTAGGGATAAAAAACGTAAAAGACGACGAAACAGAGTGGCGAAGGAGGAAGAGGAAGAGGAGGAGAAGAAGGAAGACAGTTTAATACAAGAGGAAGGGAAAGGAAGTGTTTGGCAGGTTGTCTGCTTTACTCAGCAAGATTGGAGTCGTCTAGTAGAGAAATTTCGTGATTCGGTAATTGTCCTATTAAACGAGTTAATTGTTTCATTCTTTAGATTCTGCTAATGATATTATTATAATATCTTAGGAGTACGATACCGAACGTAAACTTTACCGTACTCTGTCTGAGAATTTCATGCCCGAAATCCCGAAACTTTTCGATTTAAAAGAGAAACAACAAAGACGCAAATTGTTACAACGTAATAGTTCGCGTGTACTTCGAAGTCACGAACTCACGACCCAGATGGAAACAGTCATGGTTAGATCCAAGATCAAAACTAAAACAAACAAAGGGAGTAAAAGAGGGACTCAGAATTCAAAGAATGTTTATGTTAAAGAGGAGACACCTCCACCTTTATCTTCACCGCCGGTTCAGAAAAAAGGACGGCAAACTAATAATTCGTTGGCTTCAGCTGTTGGTCAAATTGTGATTCATACTAGGGATGAAGTGGAGGGATTAGAGAAAAAGAAAGGCATTGGGAGTAACAGCGATGGGAATTATGTGTCTTCTAATTATGGATATAAATACGGTTATTCATTTGGAATTGAGGAAGAAGAACGTCGTGTTGGAATGCACAAAGTTCTTGAAAGTCTTAAAGATCATGTGGATGCCTGGCCATTCATTGATCCTGTGGATGAAGAATATGCACCAAGGTATAATATTAAAATTCTACATACGATTTTAAATCATTCTCAAGGTGCAGATGTTATTATCATTGTTACTGTTTCACATAGATACTATAGCGTGGTACGAAAACCGATGGATCTTAGTACAATGGAAGAGAAACTTGAAAATGGTTTATATAAAAGTTTAAGTGAATTCAAACGTGATTTTCGACTCATAGTAGATAATTGTAGGCAATATAATGGTTCTGATAATGGTTAGTACCTTCTCATTTTTTAATGTTATAATATATTTTATAATGCTATAGTTACCTTTTAAGCTTCAATATCTTTATTATTATTATAGAATATACAGAGATGGCATTCCACCTTAAAGAAGCGTTTGATAAAGCAGTGGGACGTTATTTGGAATCGGAAACATCCAGCGATGAGGATCCTTCATCACCGAAGTCATTTCTTGCAACTCCCACGTCTCCATTGTGTCCTTCTCGCGTTTCGTCCCCACATCAGAATAGAAAACGTTCGAAAAAATCTACGAAAAAGTCGAAGTCATACAAATCTGAAAGTAAAGGAAAGGCTAAAGCGAATGATAAAAACGATGAAGAAGAGAAACGGGGGAAAAATTACAAACTTCCAAAGAAAAAGAAAGGTAAAAAGAAAAGTAAAAGAACAAAGGACGAAGAATTTATAAACGAGGAAGAGCAGGAAGAGCAAGAGAGCGAGGAAACAATGTCTGAATCGAGTATCATAACGTCGAAAAGAAGGAAACATGTCGACGGAAATAATTTATTATTGAAAACCAAAAAGCTGACATCCAAAGAATCAGAAGAGTTGAAGAAAGTAGATAAGAAAGTTAGTAAAGAACGTCATCAACAGAAGAAAGAGACGGAAAATGTACGGCCAGTAAAAGAATCGAAGGAGAATAAGAAGCGAAAAGAGGATTTCGAAGAAGATTATGAGCCTCTAGTCGTCGTAAAGAGTAAAAATAAAAAAATTGAAAAGAAAGAACTCGAGGTGCCCGAAATATTTACAGACAACGCGAAGAAGAATAAAGTGAAAAAAACCGAATCTCACGAAAGTGAACCAGTGCCAGAGAATAAAGAGAAGACTCAGCATATCAAAGTTAAAAAAAATCGAAAGAGGGAAAAGACGGGGTTAAAGATTTTAAAATCTGACGAGAAATCTGAAAAAAGCCGTGCCAAGGACAAGGAGAAAAAATTAAAACAGAAAAGCGATGAACTCAAAAATGGGGAGATATCGAGTGAAATGAATTCCAAAGATATAGATCTAAAAAGCGATATAGATTCAAAAGAAACACATACGTCTAAGAAAATTCCTGCATTTATAGGTGATAAAGATATAGAGTCGTTGGATGGTTTAAAGGATAAGATAAGCGAAAGACGACGGGAGGAAAAGTTGAAAAACGAGAAGGAAAAACAGAAGAGAACTGGAAAGAACGACTTTCACAACATGTATTCAAAAAAAGTGCCTTCAAATGGTAGTACCTTTCACGACAGCGATAAACCCAGCGCAAAACGACCAAAGTTAAAAAAGGGAATAAAAGAAGATAAAGTTCCTACCACGGAAGATGTCAAAACTCAAGACCAAGAAGTCGTTGAGACTAAAAAAGTAAAAGCAGCTCAGTCGAAGCATACTAAAGGATTTGGAAAAGAAGAAAGCTCCATGCAAGCATTGAATCAAGCGACAGAGCAAACACTTCATGTAAGAATATTTTATGTTTCACGTGTTTGCGTTTACGTAATGTAAATAGGTGTAATAATTTATATATAACCGCACTTTGTTTTTCTTATCTCCGAATAGGACATCAACAAATGGTTAGATGACGCACCAAGACTATCTGAATTTTCTTCAGGAAGTGATTCACCGATATTTCATTCTTCGTCCGTCGAATCTGGCCGATCAGGTCCGAAAGTAGAAGCACCAAGAAAACGACCAAGTTCTATTAAAATCTTCGGTCCTCACGGACACAGTAGACCAAAAAAGATTCAGCGTACAATAGATCGTTTGCAACCTGGTAAAAGTAAGGGAAATTTACTTCTAAAGAAACCATTGAACTTGCCTAATGTTAATACCGCTGAAACGACGGTGCAGTTGATCAACGATAATGATCAAACGAACAAGAATGCGGACGAAGAACCAAAACTGAGCCTGGGGACTGTTTTGAAAAACGTAGATTCCATACAGTTAATTTGTAAAAGTTTAGTTTCCTCGCCCAATCCTAATTTTTCAAACGACGATGAGGAAGAAGACCACAACACTCTTCCTGCAGTTCCGGTGTCTAATCTCAAGGAGGAAAAAACGTCCGGGGTAACCACAACGCAAACACCTGCGGTTGTAGAAGAGTCTAAAGATAGTCAGTCTAGCACCAAGGACACGCAGAAGCCCAAAGCAGCGACACCAAATTTGAGTGCTTGGTTCAAAGCGTTCGGAGCGCCGAAATCGAAAAAGAAAGACGAGGACTCGGAGGATGGTACAGCAAAGAAGGATGCTGAATTGCAGGAAGTGTTTTGTGGTAGACAAAGAAGAATGAGTACTGGTGGTAGTAGTGTAAGTGAATCTGTTTCGAGTTTCTCCCAAGAATCACCACCTGGACGCTCGGGTCGATCACCACAAGGGCAACCGATAATGGCTTCGGTCGAGCCACAGATTAGAGGAGCTGGATTTTATCAGGACGCTTTATCGACAGGAAGTAGTCCTTACAATAGCCCTTATTATGCCACACCTCCAAGGTACAGCGCTCAATTACCCCCTACACCATCACCACAAAACCATCCTCTGTCTCCAGCTTATCCATCATCGTACGAACAAGCACCTCTCTATTCTCAGATACCAGCCCAACAGACGCATCAAACGTTTCAGAAATCACCTCAGGAAAATTCTGGGGAGATGTATCATCAATTGTCGCCCACATTTCCTCAGCGATCTCCGCAAACTAATTTCCCTCAAAATTCAACGCAAAACGAACCGTACAGTCAGCAATTGCAATCTTCTCAGAGTCAGAGTCAATCTCCCGTTTATTCACAACATTCACCGCAACCCATACAACAGGTATATCCTCAGCCTTCGCCGCAACCACCGCCATCGAATTATTCTCAGCCGTCTCCTCAGCAACCACCTACTCCCAAATATTCGCAACTCTCGCCGCAACAAAACGCTGCCAATTACTCTCAGCCGTCTCCGCAAGCTGCCAATTATTCTCAATCTTCGCCTCAGCAACCGCATTCACCCTATTCCCAGGCCTCTCCTCAGGCACAGCCAAATTATTCTGAACCATCTCCACAGCAACAACACTCGCCATATGCACAATCTCCACAGCAATCGTCTGGATATTCCCAGATGTCTCCTCAACCACCGCCATCAAATTATTCTCAACAATCGCCACAACCACCTTCAAATTACTCTCAGCCATCACCTCAACCACCTTCCAATTATTCTCAACCATCACCTCAACCACCTTCCAATTACTCTCAACCATCACCTCAACCACCTTCCAATTATTCTCAATCATCGCCACAGCCACCGTCCAATTATTCTCAACCATCGCCACAACCACCTTCCAATTATTCTCAACCATCGCCACAACCACCTTCCAATTATTCTCAACCTTCGCAGCAGCCAGTTGCGAGTTATTCTCAGCCGTCACCGCAGCCACCTTCCAATTACTCTCAACCATCGCCTCAACCTCCTCCAGTATACCCTCAGCAATCTCAGCCTTCAAATTTCTCGCATCCATCGCCCCAGACACATTCAACCGGTTATACGTCATCCTCGCCTCAGCCTCTCACCACAGGCTACTCCCAGCCATCGCCTCAACCTCGAAACTATTCTCAACCTTCGCCTCAACAAATTCACACTTTTCCTCAACATTCTCCACAAGCACCACCGCCCTCGTATTCTCAGCCTTCACCTCAGAATGCACCAGGCTACTCTCAGCCGTCGCCGCAACAACCAGTCAAGTATTCGCAGCCTTCTCCGCAACAATCTGCCAATTACTCGCATTCAATACACTCTCCTCAAACGCCGCAAAATTACTCGCAAATGTCACCTCAACAAGCACCACCAAGCAATTACTCTCAACCGTCACCATCACAATCTCGAAGCTATCCTCAACCATCTCCGTCACCACAACAGTCCCGTAACTATTCCCAACCATCGCCATCTCCCCAGCAGTCGCATACTTACAGCCAACCCGCGCCATCACCTCAGCAAACTCGCACGTATTCTCAATCTTCGCCTCAGCAAAAGTCGCAACAAGCATCGCAGCCCTCGCAACAGCCTTCGAGTTACTCGCAGCCGTCTCCTCAACAAAGTACAAACTACAGTCTACAACAATCGCAGCCGCAATCACAAAAGGTCGCGGAGGAATATCCACAGGCTACGTCGACATCTTCGAATTACTCTCACGGATACAAACAGAACCACTCGTACATTCAGTCTCCAGCGTCGTCAACGTTGAACGATACGGAACAACATAGGGCGGATTATTTAAAGTCCAGCAACACGGAGAAGCCCTCGAGCGCAGAGCAGCAAAGGAATTTTGCTACACCGTCGGAGGCGGCGTCGTTAAACCTAAACGCGAATCATCAGATTTATCAGTCAGCGAACCAATATCCACCGACGTTTGGCAACAACTATGCCAACGTCGATCTTCAGAGGTCTGTTTCGAGACACGGCGGTCAGGAACAGGCGCCACAGC